AGGCGTGGTAACGCCATTCCTCCAACTACAGCAGTTGCAGCTTACGTTCAGTACCTACAACACTCAAATCCAGGTTTAGCAGCTTAAGGGCCCAAAAGGCCTTGTGCTCTAGCTCTACTGTCAAATGACACGCCTTCCCATAGACAAGCCTATATGGTGAAGTACCAATCGGGTTTTTGTAGGCTGTCCTATACGCCCAAAGAGCATCATCGAGCTTGGTGGACCATCCTTGCGGGACTGATCCACCGTCTTTTCAATTATTCTTTTAAGCTCCCGGTTCGTCAGCTCGGCTTGACCATTTGACTGGGTTCCTCTATCACTAATGATGGCGCGAGGTGTCCCGAACCGGGAGAACAGTTGCTTCAGAAATGAGCAGACCTGTCTTGCATCATTGGTGGGCATGGCTTGAGCTTCTGCCCACCTCGAGACGTAGTCCACTGCAACCAGTATGTACAAATTGCCAAAGGATGGAGGGAATGGGCCCATGAAATCGATGCCCCAAACATAAAAAAATTTCACAAATGATAGAAATATGTTGGGGCATCTCATCCCGGAAACAAATGTCACCTGACCTTTGGCAGCGGTCACACTGTCTTGCGAAGGTGTCTGCATCCTTGAAGAGTGAGGGCCAATAGAAGCCCGACTGTAGCACCTTCAGCGCCGTGCGGTTTCCTCCATGGTGACCTCCAGGAGGTCCCTCGTGGCATTGAGACAGGATGTCTCCCATCTCGTGCTCCATGACGCAGCGCCGGATCACGCCATCTGCTCCGATCCTGAAGAGGTAAGGATCCTCCCAGAAGTAATGCTTCAAGTCGGAGAAGAACTTGCGCTTTGCATGAGTGGCCATCCCCTTTGGTAGATGCTTGCCCACCAGATAATTGGCAAAGTCAGAATACCAAAGGGCCACGCTGTCCACCAATGTCATCGCCAGCAATCGCTCACCCGGGAAGGAGTCATCGATCTCTTCCACGAAGTTGTCCACCGGAGGGGCTTCCAACCGTGATAGATGATCTGCAGCAACATTCTCGACTCCCTTCTTGTCTCGGATCTCTATATCAAATTCCTGCAGAAGCAGGATCTAGCGGATGAGCCTAGGCTTTGCATCAGCCTTGCTCATCAGATAGCGAATCACCGAGTGATCTGTGTAGACCACCACATGGGAGAGCACCAGATATGGTCGGAACTTATCAAATGCATACACCACAGCGAGGAGCTCCTTCTCAGTGGTGGTGTAATTCTCCTGTGCATCGTTCAAGGTCTTCGACAAGTTCAACAATATCGAGCCTCCAGTGCAAAGTGATATGATGGCGGAATTGCGAGATCTGGTGGGTTCTCTAGCCACCTCCAGTGCAAACAAGTTCAACAATATCGAGCAGTTCATGGAGAAAGCTTCCGGTAAATTCTTGGAGCTGAAAGCTGGCCAGAGAAACACGCAGGCTGTGCTGCGGGATATCCAGACCCAGCTTGGGAGTGTGGCCCAGGCTGTAGCCCAAAGAACTCCTGGTACTTTACTCGGTCAGACCATCCCTCATCCGCAGGACCCAAATGATCACTGCAAGGCCATTACTACCAGGAGTGGCAAGATGACTACTGATCCACCTGTTCGGGCACAAGAGAGAGACCCCTACTTCAGCACTTCCAGCTAATAAAGAGGAAATGGATAAGGAGGTTGAGGTGCCTGCTCCTAAGTCGCAACCAGTGGCGAAGGAGTATGTACCGCAGCTTCCCTTTCCTACTCGGTTGCACAAAGACCGACTAGAGACTGAGTTTGCCAAGTTCATGGCAATGCTGAAGCAGGTAAACATAAGCATGCCCTTCGTGGAGGCATTATCGAGATGCCCAATTATGCCAAGTTCATGAAGGATCTCCTCACCAACAAGAGGAAGCTTGGGGAGCTGTCAACGGTGATGCTCAACGAGGAGTGTTCTGCCATCGTGCAGAACAAACTATCAGAGAAGCGCAAAGACCCAGGGAGTTTTACTATCCCTTGCATGATTGGTAGTTTGCATATAGGGAAGTCCTTGACGGATTTAGGCGCTAGCATAAATGTCATGCCATATAAACTGTTTAAAAAGCTAGGCCTAGGTGAACCCAGTGATACTAGGATGAGCATTCAACTTGCTGACAGATCCATTGTGCATCCTAGGGGCATTGCAGAGGACTTGATAGTCGCAGTAGGGCCATTCTCATATCCTGTTGATTTTGTGATTCTTGATATAAATTAGGATGTGGATGTGCCTTTAATACCGGGTAGACCTTTTCTCACAACCGCTAAGGCACTCATTGATGTGAATGATGGGAAATTGATTTTGCGAGCTGGGGGTGAACAAATCACCTTCTTTGTTTCCGATAATATGAAACACCCCCAGCTCCATGATGATCTCGACTACTGTGATGTTATTGCTGATTTTGAGATCGCACACGCCATCACGAGTGCGGGTACTAACAATTTCCTCGAGCATTGTCTTTTGCTAGGGGAACTGGCATCACAGGAGTTGCAGCTGGAGGAGCAGCTCGCGGAGCTAGACAAGGCCGCGATCGAGGGCCGAGAGAAACCATTCAATACGATCCCTATCTCGCCCCGGATCGCCACATCATTGGAGGAGCCAGCGAAGCTGGAGCTTAAGCCCCTCCCGACTCACCTGGAGTATGCATTTCTCCGGGAGGGGAATAAGCTCCCGATCATTATCAGCTCGGATCTGACACCCGAGCAGAAGAACAGGCTGGTGGCTCTGTTGTATAAGTATGACGAGGCCATGGCGTGGAAGATAACAGATATCAGAGGCATTAGCCCATCCTTCTGCTCCCACTGAATTTTGATGGAGGATGAGGTTAAGCCAGTCAGGTAGCCACAGAGGAGATTGTCTCCCAACTTGGAGGCAGTGGTCTGGACAGAGATTGTGAAGCTAATGGATGCAGGGATCATCTTTGCTATATCTGATAGCAAGTGGATCAGCCCCACTCAGGTTGTCCCGAAGAAAGGCGGGATGAATGTGGTCCCGAATGAGAAGAACGAGCTAATCCCTATACAGACTGTGACCGGCTGGAGAGTCTGCATCGATTACCGGCGCCTGAACGACGCCACCAGGAAAGACCATTTTCCCCTACCTTTCATTGATCAGATGCTGGAGAGGTTGGCTGGCCATGAGTTTTATTGCTTCCTGGATGGCATGTCTGGTTATTTCCAGATTCCTATCGCACTAGAGGATCAGGCGAAGACCACATTCACTTGCCCCTTATGTACCTTTGCTTACCGGAGGATTCCATTCGAGCTGTGTAATGCACCGGCGACCTTCCAGAGATGCATGCTGGTCGGAGAGATCATGGAAGTCTTCATGGATGACTTCTCGGTTTATGGAGACTCCTTCACTCATTGTATCCATAACCTGGAACTCGTTCTGAAGAGGTGTGAGGAGAGTAATCTGGCACTCATCTGGGAGAAGTGCCATTTTATGGTCCATGAGGGGATTGTGATCGAGCACAAGATCTCCAAGCAGGGGATTGAGGTAGATCGCGCGAAGATTGAGACGATCAGTAAGCTACCTCCTCCCATTTCTGTGAAGGGGATTCGCAGCTTTCTAGCTCATGCAGGCTTCTACCGGCACTTCATTAAAGATTTATCGAAGATTGCCCTACCTCTGAGCAAGCTGGTGGAGAAGGATGCACTATTCCAGTTCACTCCTGAGTGCACAGCTGCATTCGAGACATTGAAGGAGAAGCTTACCCATGCACCCATCATGGCGACTCATGACTGGTCTCTTCCCTTTGAGCTGATGTGCGATGCGAGTGACTATGCAGTCGGAGCAGTTCTGGTTAAGAGACGCGAGAAGCACTTCTAGCCCATCTACTACGCGCCGAATACCTTGAATGATGCACAAGAGAATTACACCACCACTGAGAAGGAGCTCCTCGCTGTGGTGTATGCATTTGATAAGTTCCGACCATATCTGGTGCTCTCCCATGTGGTGGTCTACACAGATCACTCGGCAATTTGCTATCTGATGAGCAAGGCTAATGCACACCCTAGGCTCATCCGCTGGATCCTGCTTCTGCAGAAATTTGATATAGAGATCCGGGACAAGAAGGGAGTCGAGAATGTTGCTGCAGATCATCTATCACGGTTGGAAGCCCCTCCGGTGGACAACTTCGTGGAAGAGATCGATAACTCCTTCCCGGGTGAGCGATTGTTGGCGATGACATTGGTGGACAGCGTGGCCCCTTGGTATTCTGACTTTGCCAATTATCTGGTGGGCAAGCATCTACCAAAGGGGATGGCCACTCATGCAAAGCGCAAGTTCTTCTCCGACATGAAGCATTACTTCTGGGAGGATCCTTACCTCTTTAGGATCAGAGCAGATGGCGTGATCCGGTGTTGCATCATGGAGCACGAGATGGGAGACATCCTGTCTCAATGCCACGAGGGACCTACTGGAGGTCACCATGGAGGAAACAGCATGGCGCGGAAGGTGCTACTGTCGGGCTTCTATTGGCCCTCACTCTTCAAGGATGCAGACACCTTCGCAATATAGTGCGACCGCTGCCAAAGGTCAGGTAACATTTGTTCCCGGGATGAGATGCCCCAACATATTTCTATCATTTGTGAAATTTTTTATGTTTGGGGCATCAATTTCATGGGCCCATTCCCTCCATGCCCACCAATGATGCAAGACGGGTCTGCTCATTTCTGAAGCAGCTGTTCTCCAGGTTCGGGACACCTCGCGCCATCATTAGTGATAGAGGAACCCATTTTCAAGGGCAATTCACTAAGCTCCTCTCTCGCCATGGTGTTAAGCATCTAGTGTCGGTGGCTTACCATCCCCAGTCAAATGGTCAAGTCGAGCTGACGAACCGGGAGCTTAAAAGAATAATTGAAAACATGGTGGATCAGTCCCGCAATGATTGGTCGACCAAGCTCGATGATGCTCTTTTGGCGTATAGGACAGCCTACAAAAATCCGATTGGTACTTTACCCTATAGGCTTGTCTATGGGAAGGTGCAGAGCCACATGCATTCTCCTCCTATCACCACAAGGTTGTATGAACAACAAATATAATGCATTACAAACTTTGTTCTACATAGACATACTTTTGTAATGGACCATACTAAGAGGTCGTCTAGCGGAATGTGATTTCTTACCCAAATGCCATAGTGAGAATCCCAGGATGCACCCATCATCCAGACGCACACCCAAACCCCACTATCATTCCTATTAGGAAGATACATTATGTAATCAACATATAATTTATTTCTATATTCAAATTATGCTAAAAACACACATTCGTACTTGTGTTGCTGTTCTGTATGTGAAGGAGTTGACCAAGAAAACTCCTTAATCTTTGGTGGTGCACATATGGTTTCCACTTCCTTATACAAAGCCTTGAACAAGTCGTCCACAAACTCAATCTGCAAAAGTTACAAACAAGTTTATTGAAATACGTAATTTAGTTGGCACATATAATCTTTGGTTTTAGGCAAAAATTCTAAAGATACCCGTGTTTCCACCACACTCATACGGACTGTTATCCGCTCCCGTGATGGAAATGGATCCAGGATTTGGACTTGTTCCTCGTCCAGTAAAATAATAGCTAAAAACCAGTGGATTCCTCCATCATCCATCATATTTTGCATGGGCAAACACACCTACATATATAAGAGAAAATTACACAATCCGCTTACTAATTTGAGGACACGATTCATGAAATTTTAACAAAGAAATTAAAACAATTAAAATTATGTTGACAAATCCTTACTAAATAAGCAAATATGATGATATGGGTGGCTTGAAAAGTCATAACCTTTCTGCAGTTTAGAGTTTTTGAAAGGAATTTTGTATGGAATGACTCTAATGCAATTGTAGGTGTCATGCCATAATTCATGACCAAATCTTGTTTGTTTTAAAAAAATCAACATTGAGCTGTCTTAATAAAGTAACCAATTATGCTTAACTGGAATAGAATTATAAGGTAAAATCGCTATATACCTGGAATTCTGTAGGCAGAAAGCACACGAGCTTTCCACGACCAGCATCCCTCCGAATTTTGTCAATGGTCAAGTGGAAAGCTAATGCTGTAATTACCCAATGCACCACAAAATATAAACATTATAGTTCAAAAAGTTAAACAAATTGACAATTAATAGCTTCATAGGAGAAATTTTTTTTGATAAGGTTGACATCACTTTTATTAAGAGGAAAGCAGGACAAAGAGGACAAAAAGAAATTACAGTAGAAGACTGAGCAAGCAGGAGCTGCTGCAGAAAAACAAAACCAAAAACCCAGCTCTAAACCAAAGAAAAGACCCGCAAGACCAGCAGAGCTGTCAAAGCAAAGCAAAACAGAACTTATATCAGCATGGGCACATGACGCAGGGCATAAGCTCCACAATGTCTTCCGGCTACAAACCTCTGACATAATTTGGACCAAGGGTTCATCAGGTGGAAGATCTTCAGCAAAGATATAGTGAGCAAGCTTCACTTCTTCCTCACTGTAGCTTACGGTTTGAGGGAGCTTAAAACTTGTGGTACCCTACAATGATGGGCAACGAACGAATACAATTAATAACTAATCATGTTCTTTTCTTCATCGACAGCTTCAATGGGATACCAGTTTTGACAAGCTAATCTAAAGTGGTCGAGTTTACTGGGTTGTTGATTTGGAACCCATAAACTCTAAAATAAACACAAAGAGGAAATCATAAATTTAAAGCAATCCACTTTTATTTTGCAAATGAAAAAAATTAAGGAAAGAACAAATACATGTCTCGTAACAAATTAATGAAAGAACAATGTAAAATGCTCGGCTTGTACTTTGGATTTCCATACCTTCGTTGACAAGTTTTATGCCAGAAAATTGGTGTGTTTCCCACGCCTTTCTCATAACGGTTGACTCCAGATTCACCGTCAAGAACAATCAAATTCGAGCACGGCGTCCCTGGGGGCGGGGGGGGGGGGGGGGGGGGGGGGTCACATCATCTCCCATTTTAGCTTTCTTCACGAGCGATACATAGTCCAAAGCCTTTGATGCAGAACGCGTTAGCCGTGTAGTTTACTGGCCGCGAGACATATTGTTGGGCATATTGATCTCCTCCCTAATATAATTGTACAAAAAATCAACATGTGGACGAGGAGAAGATACCATATGGTATGAAGTTGGTAATGAGAGATATGGAATTTTATTTTTTCAAAAAATATTGAAAATTAATTTTAATTTTTAGAAAACAACAAACTCGATCCATTTGTGAAAAAAAAATCCGAGTTAGAACGAAGAAGATAAGAGCCGATTAAGAAAACTAGAGAAAATAAAATGCCTTTAATTCTCCAACCTTAAATCCGAATTTTGTGGGCTCACTTAAGAAAGAAGTTCCAGATTTAGTTATACACACTAACTTAAGCCGGTTAGCTTGAAATTTTTTATGGGCAAAAAATTTGATGGAGGGGCCAATTGAAATTTTGTTTTGTTACCGCCTAGACAAATAGTCACGGGAAGGTTATGTGAATTATAATTTAAGAACAAAAATCACGAGAATTTTTCCGTGTAAATAATTCCCTTTCGATCATGGGAGTATACCCATAATGAAAAGTTTCCGTGACTGAAAGTGTGTTTTCTTGTAGTGTCATTTACCACCAACAAAATTACTATTTTCTGCTAACTAAAAAAAATAAAAAATTACTACTACTCATATCTACACATAATATAATACGCCGAAGGGAAAAACAGGAGCCCCATTCAAAATCCCTACCTCCAGAGCATTTTACGGAGGGACAATTTTGGAAAGAGCATCTTTCACCCGCGTACAAGTGCAGAGTGAACGGGCCCAGGAATTTTCAAGGCCCAAAAACAAAAAAAAATTGGTTCTAGCCACACCATTTCTTCTCACAAGTCACAACTGTTCTGTCGCATTGATCGTCAATTCCCCCCGTCGCACCTACCCTCCTCCTCGCAAGGCAACTGTCGATCGCCTTCATTCTTACAGTGACGAGATTCACCTGCGTCGACAGACAATGAGAAGTCGCATGTGCTGCCACAAACTCAGCTCCCTATCTCTGACTCATAAAACCATGAGTTTCGAAGGTATCGTTGGTCTTCCTTACCGTTGATTGATCAATAAATGCATTTCGGTTAGTCTGACCTCCGATTACCGCAAAATTAGGAGGTTCCAGTCTCTGAAGCTCGAACACGGGAAGCAAGAAGGAATTGCAGAGAACCGGTCTCTGAAGCTCGAGAAGGAATGTTGTTGGAATCAAAGAAGAGGGAGGTGAAATATGGTGTGGAAGCAGGAAACAAACAAGAGTGAATTGCTTTACTAGAACAACAACTTTGCCAGAAGTCTGTTCAGGTTGAATTGGAAATTGAATTGAGAGATAGGGTCATTCAAATGGTTGGATCAAAATCGTCCAAGATACTTGAATGGTCACTGCAGCTCAAGCAGCAGGTAGAGAAGGCAAATGAGTTGGTTGGAAAAGTGGAGGGGTTAGAGAGAAAGGTTGGTGAACTAATGAAGGAGATGGGAGAAAAGAATGAGGAAATAGATAGGCAAAAAGATGAATTCGTATAGAAAATTTTTAGTGAGAGAAAGATTACCGAAGAGGAGAACTTCAAGCTCAAGGAGAAGAACTAATGAAGGAGATGGGAGAAAAGAATGAGGAAATAGATAGGCAAAAAGATGAATTCATATAGAAAATTTTTAGTGAGAGAAAGATTACTGTAGAGGAGAACTTCAATCTTAAGGAGAAGATTCATGAACTCGAAAGGAATCTGCAGGAGGAGAGTAAAGAAGTGGAAGAGGGAAGAGCATTGATAGGTAATCCTTTTTGGTTTTTTCTAGCTTGATGTCATGGTTCTAATCTAGGATGCTTGAAATATGTGTTTAGTGTTGTGGTGTACAAAGTGGTTCAGTGTTGTTCAAATTACCATATGTCACGCTAATCCTCCATTCCATCTCTCTGCAGAATCAAACCCTGGGCCTGATAGGTAATCCTTTATTTCTTCAGGAATCTTGGTATCGTATTCGTCTAGAATCATCAGGAGTAATTAGAAGCTAATTTGAGTATGGGTGGGGGGCTTCAACCCATAAGAACAAAGAAAAAGGTACTGAAAAGAATCCGCTTTTCGATTCTTCTTAACAAATAATGTGGTAACTCCCCTTCAATTTCCCCACTGTTAGGCCACACCCCTATGAATGGTAATTTTGTACTAATAAGTTATCCACTTTAATTAGCAATGGAAAACTTTAATTGCGATAGGGAATCCCATCAATGCATCTTATGACAGATATGTTCAGCAGTTATAACATAGATTCTTTCGATTTCGCACTAATAAAGCATGTTCTTAATGACTTATGTCCTTTGAGAAGTTTGGATGGTGATTCAATCTTCTAATGATTCTTTCAGGAAGTATCCTTCCGGAATTTCAATTACTGTACAAAGTACAATGCATTAGGTGATACATGAAAATCATATTGCTTGAAAAGTGAATCCGACCATAGCTCATGGTTTTACTTTAGTTATCTAATTTAGATGTGATGCTCATATAGACCATGTTCAGATTGATTGCTTTTCTTTTCATTCTCTTATTTATGCTAGCTTTTTGTTGTTTGCAGATGAAATGATAGTTTTGCAGTTAGCGCATGTTGAGGAGGTCGAGGTCTTGCGACCAGTCCAGTCAATATCCAATAATCGCTCACAAGATTTCATCAGTGCACTTGAAGTAGTGTATTTTCACTTATAGTTGAACTAGCTTATAACCCGACGGAGGAGCTGAGCTGAATATTAATTCTACGGGTTATCCCAATAATTCAATATTCGGCTCAGTTCCTCCGACCAACGGGTCGGGTTATTAGCTAGTTTTGTATATATAGGGCTTCGAGAATTATTCAAAAAAATCCATCCACTATCAAAGAGCTTAAAAGATCGTAAAAATCAACGTTTTGTCAGAAAACTCGTTGAAAAACTCACCGGAGAAGCAAAACTTCGTCGTAGCTTGTGCACATGCAACCATCATTTGTCAGCAATCATGTATTTATTTCACTGTGGACTTTGAAGAATTTTTTAGCCGAGTTTTTTTTCACTGTCCAAGCACAAAATGAAATAAAGAGAATCAACCGACTCAATAGAACTCACATCTGCAAGCCCCAAGAAAGAGTGAAAAAATTGAAACAAACAAAAATAACAATCATAATAGATCACTTGCCACAATAAAATAATGAATTGGGTGGGCGAAGGATATCAAACTGGAAGAGGTTTAAAAAAGAGTTCAGAGAAGCAGCAATAAAACCAACTAAATGAGGAAGAACCGAGCTACAAAAAATGATCATCGACAAAGAAATTGGAAAACATTACCCTTATTGAGGAATATGTTCCCCAGAGAGTTTGGGTGTTGAACCTGATCTTGCATGCAAATTTACAATGGTCGTATTGTTTAGTGGTTTAAGAGACCTCTGCGAAACGGATTGGAAGTATCGGGAGAAAGCAACTAAAAATCCGAGACTCAAAGAGATCTAGAGGAGCAGGAAAGGAACCTAATAGTACGAAAAGCGATTTCAAGACCACTTCTTCTTTGGTCTTCAAATCGTCAGGGCGTCCCCAACAATTGTGTTCGTCGGTGAGGCATGACAGAGAAGGAAGAAATTGGCGGTGATTTGAGATACAAATAGAAATAAGGGAGAGAGACACTTTTGTTTTGTGGTTGCGAGGAAACCCAATTTTGGGTATTTGATTTGATTTTATGAAGTGAAAATAAAACATTCATAAAAGTAAAAAAATAAAAATAAGGCCACGAGTAGAAAAGCCTTGACCCAGTTCAAAAGGTATAAATTCTTCTAGGTTGAACAAAAAAGAGTCTGATTCCAATGCGGCCCGCTGCGTAGTGCAGCACATCCAACTTGTATATATAAATATAACCCACTTTCTACATGCAATGTGGGAAAATGTTAATAACCGAAGAGTCTTGCTGACATGTTCACGAATCCGGTTCCACATGGCAAGTTTCAACACTGCTCGGACTTGTCGAATGTCTTGAGTGGATGAATATGCCCTAAGGGGCATTGATGGCATGACCGCATGAGGGAGAGAAGGTTCAAAGTGCATGAGAAATTTCAGAGGGAGAGGATTTAAGTCAAGATGAAGATTTGAATCTGATATGATCTCAAATTGCCAACCATTCACGTCACAATTACTTGACAAAGAAGCTATCGAAGTTGGGAAGAAGGAAGACATAATTTGGTTTAAGTGTTGGAACAGTTTCGAGATACCTATTTTGGAGTCATGGTTCTCACAATTGGCTACCTCAAAACAGGAAAACTGCCAAAATCTGTTTACTATAAATCTATGTTCATGAAGCCTACTTTGGAGCTCAATTTGAGGAGCATGGAAGGGATTAAAGTCCAAAGGCTTCTACAATATGAAAATAGGTATGTTTATCTACCAAGGAAAGGAATTGGATGGAATATTGGAGTTCTAGAAGGCCTCGAACAAAAGGTGCGAAGTTAGAAGGAAAACTGTTTTGGACAGTTTGCTGGCAACTTACTTGTGCTTGAAGAAAAGGAGTTTGTGACGAGGAGGAACGAGCTAATGCTCTGGAGACTTCCAATGGGGAGCGCAATCTCGTTGAGGAAGACCACTCCACAAGAGCAGGGCACTTCTGTTATTCCCCGCCGAAAAATTCTGCAGTACAGGATCCGATTCCGAAGAGGAATCACGATCGTGGTATTCCAAACGGATCCAACCCAGCCCTAGAAGAGTATATTCTGAACTTGGAGCCGAGCTGGGTGGCGGAGAGATGGCCTTCAAATTGTTCGAAGGTGGAGAAGGAAGCAGCAGCTTGTCGACTCTGTTTTTCTCTGGTAAAACAGAGTATGCCTTCTGTTGTAACCATCGCTGCACTAGAGGATGAATCAGAAGATTTCTTTGCTTCTGGTAAGTTTCATCAAGGTCGAGGAACAATTTCCAAAGAAACTGCAACACCAAATCATAGGGGATTCAACATGCCCAATTTGGAGATTGACGAACGGTAGTCAGGAACTTTTGAACTCGACTATCCCAGGAAAGCTACCAACCCTTATTCGACGATTCTATGCCGCATTCAAAACTCGACATCAACATGAGATTTTGAATCGTTGAAGACACCAGATGTGTCGAGCAGAAAATTGGAGTATGGAAGTTTGTCTTGCTCTAACTCCACTTTTCTGACTTTTCCAGAGTACGTACCGGTGTTGGGCAATGCAGTAGAGATTTTGGTTTTCCTTCCAACCTTAATTATCATTAGTACTGGCCAAGGCGTTGACGAAGGTGAAATATATGCATTGGTTATTGACACGCTAAAACACAACACCTAACAATGGCCAAGTGTAACCAATGAAAGGGACTGCAGTATAGTGGCACAAGTAATAAATATCGAATCCACGGGTCTCTAGAGTTACTATTACTCAGCTTCAGTTCATTATCTAGCAAACTAGATTAAGGATTGATTTATAAACTACTCTACTAACTACTCTACTAATTACAAGTTGGGAACTCACTTAGGTATGATTCCCCCTAACTCCTCAATTAGGTCCAAGTTGCAATTACCTTTGGTTGATCTACTGTTGATTAAACTGCGGAAGATCCTAAATTAGCTTGGAATCTCTTAAGCTGATCAAGCCCTCTCAGACAGAATACCCGGCAGGCGACTAGCCTTCACCGGGATAGACTGCTAAGGCGATTCACACAGATCTCCACTACTGGAATGAATTCCAGTACAAAGCAGTGAATTGATTGACTCTCGCACAACCAATTCACTACTATCAATCAAGGAAGCTCTCTTAACCTAATCAGATTCTATCTATCATAGGTTAAAGCAGAAATCAAGAGAATTTGATCAAGATCCAATTGACTCAATAAATCATGCCTCAATCGATTATAATCAAACAATATAGCATCCAAAACTTCATACAAGAAAGATCCTAACTCATGGAACTAGGGTTCCTCAAAACCTAAGTGAAGGGAAGTTACTCCATAGAGAAGAGAGAGACTGCAGAAATCTGATCTCGATCTTCAATCTCCATCTCCAAGCTTGATTCCCGAGCTCCAATGGCGAAGAAATCCTCCAAAATAGCTCCAAGAATGTTTCCAAGTCGCTCTCTCTCTCTCTAGGGTTCGTCCCTTGGGTGTTTGGGATCCAAAACCCAGCTCTCCTCCTTCCTTTGGCTGAAAATCGGGTTTTAAACAGCAATTCCCGACTCACACGGGCAGGCCGCACGGCCGTGCAGATCACCTAGTTGCCCGTGCGAAGGCTCGGTGATTTCCGCACGGCCACGACTCGCACGGCCGTGCGGGGTTCCAGGATGCCTGTGTGGCTTACCCAGCCTCTGTTTAACGCTTCATTTCTCCCTCGTCCGGACTCCGAATCAGTCGCCGTTTGATCCCAGACGCTCATAGTCTCGTCCTCTTTCTTTTAATAACAAGCTTGCATGATTATTTGTCCATAAAGTGAGGTAGAAATCCATTCTTCTTCAGGTCATGCCCGAGTTTCTTCTCTCGAATCGTCAATTGATCTCTGATTGACTTGAAACTTGCGCCTATGCTTCACTTTATGTGCTAGGACCTGAAATGTGACAAAGGAACACAACCTAGCATAAAATAGGCCAAAGACGCGATAATTCAAGCTCAAACAATCAAGAAACAAAGGGGAAAATATGTGCAAATACCGAGTCATCAAATCCCCCCACACTTAACTGTTTGCTTGTCCCCAAGCAAACCTAACTCAAACCAATGCAACTCTCCAGACCTCTATAGCAACAAACACCCCGATCGTCAGTAGAGGATTTTCTAGATCATATAGCAGCTTACGAGGTCAACTGGTCTTCTAAGACGTTCCCTATCTCTCTCAATGCGAGTACTAGACTCAAGCCAGGATCATGAGAAGAAGTAGAAGTAAGACAGTCGGTTCATGGATAAAGGGACTCACACCATTCACAACCAAGGACTCGTTGTACCGGGGTGCTCTTTCACTTCCTTTCACCGTTGGAACCCCTTTTTCTCACTTTCATTTACATTTTTTTTCCTTTCATTTGGTGGGGTTCCAACTGCAGTCTTTTGCACGGTCGACCCTTATTAGTCGAGCAAGAGCAATTTCTGTACATCTGGCGCTCGCCAGAGTACTTCTTTTAACTCCTTTTCCTCAACTCGTGTGGAGGGTCAATGAAATTAAGGGGGGTCGGAAGCTCTATCCGTGCCCTTAAAAACACATCCTCGAGTAGGCAAACCGCTCAACGGGTGGAAGTTTTACTTGTACTAGAGACAACTTAGCTTCACCTTGTAGGAGTACCCCACTAAGGATCACTAAAATCTCTTCCAAAACCCAATTTTGTGCAATGAACGGTGCCACACACGTTGGGCTTTCCCCATGTTTAAGATTTCAATGATTTCGACATGGAGGACCAACTGCTTCCCATTTTCCACATGAGCACCCTGTTCGATACACGAGTCCATAACACAATCCAAACAGAGTCACCATTACCGCATGAATTCAACGGTCTTAGCTCCACTAATTCACAAAATCAACTGGCATAACAGAGAGCTAGATAGGAAAAATCTTATACTTCAACATCCTCCATAGTGCTACACTACCTCCCTAGGTTGCACATTACTATAGAGACTGTCAATTCAAAGCATACTGAGTAGGCAATTTGCAAGGAAACACGTACTTGGAGCCCTCAAATTTAAAAATTTGGACAGTGGACTAGGCTCCAAGCACACAAACAGCCAAACATTCACCCGCATACATAATCGAACACCCCCCACACTTAAGCACGACATTGTCCTCAATGGAGGAAAGATAAGGAGGGTAGAACGAAGTTACCAGATCAAGGGTGAATGATGATGGACGGGGCAGGCAGTGCATTCCAGGAAGAGAGAGTAATCAGAACACAAACACCACACAAAATCTCACAAAGGTTGAGCTATTGACTCTAAAATCAAATAACAAAACTGACTCAACCGAGGAGAAATAGAGAAAGAAATGCAAACCGACTGGTTGGGTTGCCTCCCAACAAGCGCTTCTTTCACGTCGTGAGCCGGACGATGGCTCCTAAGTTTTGGTCCATGCTAGAACCTCCTTGAAGTTGAGGTTCTCATCTATGAGCTGGAGTCTCAAGTCACAAGCAGGTGGTGTGGCAGGTGATGAAGGCTCGTGCACTTGATGCAGATGAAGTCTCCACCCTCGAGACCTCTTCTTCTCTTCTCTCGTCTCATTGCCCCAAACCAGATAAGACAGCATCGATTGGCCACCATCGCGTCCACCAAGAGGGACCGATGTCGATGTGGCCTTAGTCTGGCAAAGAGACACTGCAAATGGGTCCTTGCCAAGCAGCTCCTTGAAGTTTGGTGGAGATATCACATGTAACTCATGGCCGGTGCAGGCCTCTTCCACCTTAACTCCGTCCTCAGCCTGGACACCAATTGCTTCTTCAACCCCCCTTTCTTCTTCATGTGGTATCGCCCCTGGGAAATGATCGAGAACTTCCTCTTCTTTGCTTTCTTCCTCATCCTCCACAACTTCTTTCTGCACCCTTTCTTGCTCTTCTTCTTCTAGCACAGATTGGAGAGCAAGTTGCCATGCAATTTCTTCAATGAGATCATCTTGCATCTCCTCGATCGGGCCCAGCATGTTAGAGCAGAAATAAGGAATTGTGTGATCTGCAACCAGAGGACTTTCCTGATCATGATTATCATGGGAGTTCTCTGTGATAACTTCTGCATGCTCCTCAACATCCCCATAGCCTTTGTCACCCTCCACCTCTTCTAGCGTGGTAGCAGAAAGGTGATCTTGAGCAAGATGTGAGCAAACTTGCTCCACCCACTCTGTTTGCTTCGCTGAGCGTTGAGCAGTCTCCTCCATATCATGGAGAAATGAGGGATCGGAAGAGGAAAGGGCTTGGATTTGAAGATCCATCTTGGAGCATGCTCGCTCAGTGTCTCGAGCGAACTGCTCCACGAGAAGCCTCAATTCATAGTTTGGATCTGGCTGTGGAGTGTAGCACGGCTCTGCAGATTGGCCCGTGAAGGCCGCCATGGGTAACTCCAGCGCCGATGGCCCTTCTGGTTGTGGGAGAAATTCTTCTTGGTAATGAGGTTGTTCTTTATATGCCCAGGGCTCTGGTTGTTCTCCGTAGAAAGGGGGTTGGTACTGGAACCCGAATCCATAGTCTTCTCCTCCTTGATTGCTACAGGGAGTCTCGGGGTAATACCACTCGGATGGTGGTGGATACCCCCCATGATTGGAGAAGCCATGAGGATCCATGATTCAGATCTGCACCAACAAAAACAAAAAACACCCAAGTGAAAAGCAAGGGCGGAAAACAAAAGAAAAACGCTAAAGTAACAAACTTCTGCCTTTCCTAATAATCTAGAAAGTCCCCGGCAACGACGCCAAAAACTTGACACGCTAAAACACAACACCTAACAATGGCCAAGTGTAACCAATGAAAGGGACTGCAGTATAGTGGCACAAGTAATAAATATCGAATCCACGGGTCTCTAGAGTTACTATTACTCAGCTTTAGTTCATTATCTAGCAAACTAGATTAAGGATTTATTTATAAACTACTCTACTAACTACTCTACTAATTACAAGTTGGGAACTCACTTAGGTATGATTCCCCCTAACTCCTCAATTAGGTCCAAGTTGCAATTACCTTTGGTTGATCTACTGTTGATTAAACTGCGGAAGATCCTAAATTATCTTGGAATCTCTTAAGCTGACCAAGCCCTCTCAGACAGAATACCCGGCAGGCGACTAGCCTTCACCGGGATAGACTGCTAAGGCGATTCACACAGATCTCCACTACTGGAATGAATTCCAGTACAAAGCAGTGAATTGATTGACTCTCGCACAACCAATTCACTACTACCAATCAAGGAAGCTCTCTTAACCTAATCAGATTCTATCTATCATAGGTTAAAGCAGAAATCAAGAGAATTTGATCAAGATCCAATTGACTCAATAAATCATGCCTCAATCGATTATAATCAAACAATATAGCATCCAAAACTTCATACAAGAAAGATCCTAACTCATGGAACTAGGGTTCCTCAAAACCTAAGTGAAGGGAAGTTACTCCATAGAGAAGAGAGAGACTGCAGAAATCTGATCTAGATCTTCAATCTCCAAGCTTGATTCCCGAGCTCCAATGGCGAAGAAATCCTCCAAAATAGCTCCAAGAATGTTTCCAAGTCGCTCTCTCTCTCTCTAGGGTTCGTCCCTTGGGTGTTTGGGATCCAAAACCCAGCTCTCCTCCTTCCTTTGGCAGAAAATCGGGTTTTAAACAGCAATTCCCGACTCACACGGGCAGGCCGCACGGCCGTGCAGCTCACCCAGTTGCCCGTGCGAAGGCTCGGTAATTTCCGCACGGCCACGACGCGCACGGCCGTGCGGGGTTTCAGGATGCCCGTGTGGCTTACCCAGCCTCTGTTTAACGCTTCATTTCTCCCTCGTCCAGACTCCGAATCAGCCGACGTTTGATCCCAGACGCTCGTAGTCTCGTCCTCTTTCTTTTCATAACAAGCTTGCATGATTCTTTGTCCATAAAGTGAGGTAGAAATCCATTCTTCTTCAGGTCATGTCCGAGTTTCTTCTCTCGAATCGTCAATTGATCTCTGATTGACTTGAAACTTGCGCCTATGCTTCACTTTATGTGCTAGGACCTGAAATGTGACAAAGGAACACAACCTATCATAAAATAGGCCAAAGACGCGATAATTCAAGCTCAAACAATCAAGAAACAAAGGGGAAAACATGTGCAAATACCGAGTCATCAGTTATCATGGATTCTTCACTTAATGACAACAAGAAAAGAAGCAACGAGAATGTGCAGGCAGTTTTGGAGCAGATTGATGATGAAGTTGAAGCTGTCCAAATTCTTCAGAAAAACATGTTTTAGCAGCCCTCTTTCTATCCAATTTGGGATCAATTTCGTGATGATTTTGAGAAGAGGAAAGATAAAGCTTCGAGGGCAAAGCCTTTTGAAGAGGGGGGAGCCTAATATGTTACCAAATTGCCAACCATTCAAGTCACAATTACTTGATAAATAAGCTATCGAAGTTGGGAAGAAGAAAGGCAGACTTTTGTTAAGTGTTGGAACAGTTTCGAGATGCCTATTTTAGAGGCATGGTTCTCACAATTGGATCACTGAAAATTGGGGTTCAAGGGCTTGTTTTAAAGATAAAGTTGTCATCTTTCTAATGGTATGCTTTTTTGGATCCAGACGAAGTTATTAAGATTGTTTTCCAAGACCTCAAAGTTGCTACCTCAAAACAGGAAAACTGCAAGAATATGTTTTAAGTATAAATTTGTGTTCATGGAGACTACTTTGGAACTCAATTCGAGGAGCATGGAAGGGATTCAAGTCGAAAGGCTTATACAATATGAAAATAGGTATGTTTATCTACCAAGGGAAGGAATTGGATGAAAGATTGGAGTTATAGAAGGCCTCGAACAAAAGGCGCGAAATTAGTACGGAAACTTTTTTTGGACTGTTTGCTGGCACCTTACTTGTGCTTGATGAAAAGGAGTTTGTGGCCGAATTTTGTGTCCTTTTTAGAGTAGAATTTTACCTTAATTGTTTCCTATTTATATTAGCATTAAACTAGGTTTTATTTGCCTTTAAGTACCTTTCTTTTTCGTTGTAAAAGTCAGACTTTGATTAATCGAAACAGAAAACCTTTGGTTTTGTGCAAGTTGCTACTTGTTTGAGTTTAGTGGATTCCAAGCTTGGGAGCTTTGTATCGATTGAATATTCTCTTCAATCGTGGTCGAGCTATCCCTAGGTGTGGATTTGTCCTTTTGGTTCCGTTTTATTCAAGTTCATATTAAGAACGTTTCGTTCTTGATTCGAGTTCAATCGATTCTCTGAATGGATCATTATTTGCGTTACTTTGATCACATACAACCCCCAGGGTCGTACTAGAATCAAAATATTAGACGCTACGATTGGAAGTCACGGGGTGTCGTTAATCTGCATCTCTTTGAAATATAGTAAAACTGGCTCTCTCTTGCCTGTGGACTAGCTGACATACATTGTGTTAGTGAACCATGTAAATCGTGTGACATATGTGTTCTTGTGTATCGTATTCTTGCTTTGTCGAATCTTCCAATTTTTAATTGTAGAAAATAGTCGCGACAAGTGGTATCAGAGCTTGGTTTGATGGATTGGGGAAGTGGACTTTAGTTTAGTGGGACCCTCATTCAGTGGATCTTGGCATTTTTTTGCTGGATCCAGGTGAGATCCACGTTTGTTTGGTGGATCAAAGGAGGTCTGCATCTGGGAAGCAGATCAAAGATAGTTATGTGTTTGGGAAAATCCTTGTACGGAGAATCCATCGATACAAGGTGTCTGGCAGATCAATATAATCGTTGAGGAGAGGACACGAAATTCGTGGTCCTTTTCTTGAGGGGACGATTGTTATGGGACAATCCAAGTACCACATCGAAAATACAAAAGAAGGATATCTTGTATATTAGTGTCCACCTAGCTAAATTAGTACGAGGTCTTTTGGGAAGGACACTGAAAAGTAAAACCGAAACTAATTGAGCTGCCCAATTTTGAAAATACATGAGCTTCACCGCCATTAGGAAACATCATCTCCTTGTCCTGCAGCTTTTGCTTCAAGCTTTTTTCATAAGTATTAATTGCTGATAAGGATTGGTGTGGCCGAATTAAAGATGTGGTTGTGTTTGTATCCATGTAATATTACATGTTCATCTGTTGAAGATAAGTATCATCAATTTACCAACTCGATTCCTCATATTTTTCATGTGCAGCATTCTAGAATTGCATATTAGGTAATCTTGACATATATTACTTCACCACTTTAGCGAGCGAAAAGTGCGGTGCGATCATAATTTTTGAAATCTATGAAACTTATGCAATCATCAATAATCCAATCCAAGATTTCATCCATCCTATTGACCACTACTATTTTTGGAGGATAACGAACAATGCAATCTACCCACACATTCACGTCCTCTAAGTCCCTCATTATCGCCCACACACAAGTGTTGCACAAAAACCTGCTCCCAAGACTATCAACATGATCATGTCTCGTCTCTTCAAACTCTTCTTGGCCTCCATGTACCCCAAAATGTACCATGGGCTGCTACAAGACGTGTTCCCAAATCGATGGAGTTATATCCTCGAACGTTCCATATCATATTCCCCCATCCCGAAGCTCTTCTCAAACCGTTCGATCACTGCTCTCCCACATGTATACATGCAGAAATGTTGGATCCCCGCCTTCATGTTGATAACCGGCGATTTTGCATCATTCTCGCCAATAAGCCTGGTTTTCCACTAGTAGCTAGCAACGAAAAAAAGTAGGAGTTTCCAAACGGGAAGCAGAACCCTAATGTTCTCCTCCAAAGCCCACATGGCTACCATCGACAGAGCTTTGGTAAGACGGGCGCCATGTAGCCATGGTCGTCCTCCACGTGGATGGCGCATTCGTACACCTCGTTTTCGGACATGTGGTTACGGTCCATGGTGTCCAGCTTCAGGATGGCTCGGTCCTTCCAGGATGGGTGGTTGGTGAGGATGAGGGAGCTCCCACCGGCTGAAAGTTTTCTTGTAGTGTCATTTGCCGCCAAAAAAATTACTATTTTCTACCAACTAAAAAAAATACAATATTACTCCTATTCATATTTTGTATATATATGGCTTCGGAAACTATTCTTAAAACTCCACCTACTATCAAAGACCTAAAAAAATCGTAAAAATCATCGTTTTGCCGGAAAACTCGTCGAAAAGTCATCGGAGAAGCGGAACTTCGTCGTAGTTTGTGCACGTGCAACCATCATTCATAAGAAATCGTGTTTTTTTTTCCATTGTGGACTATGAAGACTTTTTTGGCGAGTTTTTTGGCACAGTCCAAGCATAAAATGAAATACAGAGAATCAACGGAACACATATCTGCAGGGCCCAAAACTGAGTGAAAAAACCGAAACAAACAAAAAGGAAAATCATAATAGATCATATGCCACAATCAAATAATGAATTGGGTGGGTGATGGATACCAAACTGGAAGAGGTTTGGAAAAGAGATTAGAGAAGCAACAATAAAACCAACTAAATGAGGAAGAACCGATCTTCAGAAAATGAACCTCGACAAAAAATTGGAAAACATTACCCTTATTTGTAGAATATGTCCCCATAGAATTTGGGGTTGAACCTGATCTTGCATGCAAATTTAACATGGTCGTGTTGTTTAGTGATTTGGGCGACCTCTACGAAAAGGATTGGAAATATCGGGAGAAAGTAGAGGTGACAATTTTCAATCCAATCCATCCACCAAGTTATCCACCTAATCCAATCCATTTTATCCAAATTAAATTAGATTGGTGGATTCATGGATCCAAATGGCAAAATACAGTTTGGTACCTATATATTTTTATTTCACATTTTGGTACTCAAAATTTAATTTTTTATACTAAAATATCAAATAACATTAGAAAATTATATTTTGGTACCTAAATTTTTTTATTATGACATTTTAGTAGTCAAACTTTTTAAAATTTACATATTGGTCCAAGTCTTGAATGCCATTTGGATTCATAGATCAATCCACCAATCCACTTGATCCAATCTATCAATCCATTTGATCGATCCATGGATCCATCAATCCATGTATCCAATCCAATTGCCACCTCTAGGAGAAATCAACTACAAATCTGAGACTCAGAGAGTTCTAGAGGAGCAGCAAAGGAATCTAATAGTACAGAAAGGGATTTCCACACCACTTCTTACTAAGGTCTTCAAATTGTTAGGGCGTCCCCGACAATTGTGTTCGTCTGCGAGGCATGGCAGAGAAGGAAGAAATTGACGTTGATTTGAGATACATATAGAGATAAGGAAGAGAGACTGTTTTGTTTTGTGGCTGTGCGGAAACCCAAGTTTGGGTATTTGTTTTAATTTGATAAAGTGAAAATAAAACAGTCGTAAAAGTAGGGCTGGGCAATGGTGCGGTCTGGTCCAGACCAGACCATATATATGGTCCATGGTCCAGACCGAGAGATTGAAGTATAGACCACAGACCAGACTACAGACTATACGGTTCGGTCCAGACCACGCCTGTGCGGTCTGGTCCATATAGACCACACTCAACAAAAAATGAATAATTTGTTTAGTCAACCACACAAAAAATTGAACCAATAACCAAGAAAAATAATTTTTATTTGCTTTAAAACATTAATCCTAACATGCATGAATAATTTTGATACCCTAAATCTTAGTACATAACAAAGATACAAAGTAAAAGCATCCCAACTTGCACCATAACGTCATAAACATTAACTTAATGTCATATGGAGACACAATTAGCTCTACTCTGGTTAAATGTGGTTGTAAATGAAGGAGGGACGAGATTCACAAACTAAGGTTGAGTCTTGGGTGTCGTTGTGGGAGTTGGGAGAGTGGTCGAATGGGATGTTAACACTTATTGACATGTCGGTTGGGTCCACGGTTTGGTCCGGTAAACCGCGGTCTAGACCAGACCAGACCAAGAGATCAAAACATAAATAATACAGACCATGGACCAGATCAGACCATTCTTAACGGTCTACGGTCCGGACCAAACTTTGCGATACGGTTTGGACCACGGTTTTTCTAACGGTCTGGTCTATTTTCCCAGCCCTACGTAAAAGTAAAAAATAAAAATGAGGCCACGAGTAGAAAAGCCTTGACCCACTTCAAAATGTATAAATTCTTCAGGGCTCTTGACCAGAAAAGGGCCTGATGGCAATGCGGCCCATTGTGTAGCACAGCCAACTTGTGTATATATAAAACCTAACCCACTTTTTACATGTAACGTGAGAAAATGTTAATAACTAAAGAGTCCTTACTAGAATGAAAAATTACAATATGAATCACAACAAAGAGCATAGCGTGCTACCAAAAACAAGGGTGTGGAACTAGATGCGCCGCTAATAAATATAGGAGTATTCTTATAACAACATTTGAGTGATTACAGTTTTGATTATATAATTATTTTCATTCCAAAAGTATTAAATTCTCATTTCCACACATGAGTATTTTGTTATAACAACAGACCTGAATTTTATGAATATATAATGCCATATGTAGGGTGGGCTACGAGCGGGATTAGGTACATGTCCTGTTTGAAACGAGTACACAATCCCATTTGGAGAGGAAACTCCATCCCATATTCCAAAGTCGTATGTGTTAACGGGGTTACCCGTACGGGACGGAGGACGGGTTCACGCGAGTAACCGATACTCTAATGTGAATGAGAAAAATACTCTAAATTACATTATTTTTATAAAGATTATAAGCCTAACGCATTACATAACAACACAAATAATATACACACAACATAATACTACTCGTAATATGCTAATATTCCAAATGAATATTGAATCCACTAAATATTGTTTACATTATGTTATGACACAACATTTTCTCACCATCAACGTTCAAAACAAGACTTCATTCTTTTATAAAGTGATGATGTATATATAAAAAAAGGTGTCTTTAAAAATTTGAATCCAGAATGTCAAACAAACATTGAGACTACAAAAATGAAAACCACATTGTGCATGCATAGATTTATTTGATGATACTCAATTACTCACCGTACTAGCACATATTTGTTCAAATAAACATAGTAGGGCGACTACAAATGTAATTAACCTATTAAGAATTGTAATTTTATGAAGGTAGCACATAACTGGATTTGTACGGAAGCCCACGGTCAGTGGCGGAGCCACTTGGAGAGGAGGGGGTGCCCCTTGGGTTCGGAGAATTTTTTTCGAGTAGGGGTATATTACAAATTCGAACCAGTGATCATTCAGTTGCAAGAAATATTTTTTACCATCTCAACTGAGTAAGTTTTGTTATGCAATGCACTTTCGTCTTTATTTATATAAATTGTTGTCGTTTGTTTAAACTCGCTCATTTCTTTTGTAGCTCTACAATAGATCAAAAATTTATGGCCTTTTGTTTAAACAAAACCGAAAGTTTTCAAACCCCAAAAGAAGGCCCAAAAATTCCTTTTTTCTGCCAAAGCTTAACACTTCCACGGTTATGACCTACCCATTTGGGCAGGTAGTACGGGTACGCATAATATCCATATGGGTATTGACAGGTAAACCATGAGTGCCCATTTTAGAATTTCTTGATCCTAGATCCTATCCTGTAAAAACAATTACGAGTATTTAAGTACTCGTAACCTTAAAAAAATGAGACGGGTATGGGTTGACCCAAATACTTGTTTCCCGTTGCCCACCCTAGCCGTATTCAGCAGTAGTTTTCTATCCTTTTATTGTTGGGAACTAGGGGAAATGTAATGAGTTTTAGGATCGATATTTCAGAGGAAACTGATTTTATTTTGGCAAAATACACCAATATAGTCATAACTTTCACATGTGTGATAAATATAGCCATAACTATCCGAAAAAACAAAATAACTGATTCCGTCCATTTTGTTAGCGGCGTCTGTTGACGGGATGAGTAGATTAACGAAAGATGCTGAGTTTGCAATATTTCGTCAATAATAATATGAGGGGAATTAACTAAGACAATTAAAAATGAATTAATTAGTTTTTTATTTATTTTCATTCTCCCTTCTCTCATCTTTCCCCTTACATTCCACCAGCAACTGCTCATCTCCATCGCTGCTCATCTCTACCAGCCAAATCATTCCATCAGGATGCAACCTAGAACAAACCCAGTGGTAGTGACGGCGACGTGGGGAAGAAGGAGATCGAGAACGCAACCGCAACCACACCCGTCGACGAGGAGAAGTGGGTTCTGGGATTCGAGTTCAGCGATTGGTGATTTGGCAAAGGGCTCAACTTTGAGATTGAAAATCGTAGTCTTCCGCCGCTCCGTCACCGCCAATCCGGATCCCTCTATTTCTACCATAGCAAACAGCTATAAGCCCAGATCGCAAGAGCCATAGATTTGTCAAGGAAAAGGACACGTCCTCATCAACATCATCTCCAGATCCCAAATCCTCAAACCATGTCGTCACCCTCCAGCTTCTCTTGGAGAACAGCCATCCAAGGAAGAAGTAGTTGCTGTAGATCGGGAATCAATTCCAAAATCAGAGAAGGAATCTCTCGTCGGCAATGGCATCTGC